CGACATTTCCAAATTCCAACATTTCCAAATTCCAAGATTTCCAAATTCCACGATTCCAAATTCCACAATTTCCAAATTCCAAGATTCTTAATTCCAAAATTCCGAATTCCCAAAATTTCCAGATTCCATAATTTCCAAATTCCAAAATTACCAAATTCCAAAATTTCCAAATTCTAAGATTTCCAAAGTCCGAAATCTCCAAATTCCAAAATTTCCAAATTCTAAGATTTCCAAATTCCAAAATTTCCAGATTCCAAAATTGCTAAATTCTTAAATTCCAAATTCAGAAATTTAGAAATTCCAAATTCTCCAAATTCTCCAAATTCTCCAAATTCTCCAAATTCCCCAGATTCAAAATTCCTTAGATTCCAAACTTCCCAAATTCCAAATTCCCCAGATTCGAAATTCCCTAGATTCCAAACTTCCCAAATTCAAAATTTCCCAAATTGAGAATTCCCTAGATTCCAAACTCCCCAAATTCAAAATTCCCCAAATTTCAAAATTTGCAAATTCCAAATTTCAAAATTACAATTCCCCAATTCCAAAATTCAGAAATTCGAAAATTCCGAATTCCAAAATTCCAAAATTACGAATTCGAAAATTACAAATTCAAAAATTTGCAGATTCCAAATTTCAAAATTCCAAATTCCCAATTCCAAAATTCAGAAATTCGAAAATTCCGAATTCCAAAATTCTAAATTCTGAAGTTTCAAAATTTCCAAATTTCCAAATTCCAAAGTTTCAAAATTTCCAAATATCCAAATTCACAATTTCCCCATACCAAAGTCCCCAAGTTCCCATCACCTTAGGTTTTAATATCACTACACATATGCATAACTAATATCTCACCTCTGCAAGCATAAATGAATATAAAACTGAGCTTCATCGCAACATTCAACCCATAAACTATCGTCACCAGAATATCTTCGTAAACATATATTTTATATATTTTATATATTAATTAACTATATTTGTTACAGGTGTACCTGGAAAACGAAACGAAATTTACTACAATTGCTGCCCGGAACCGTACATTGATATCACGTTCGTGGTTATCATCAGAAGGCGGACTCTTTACTATTTCTTTAACCTGATCGTGCCATGCGTCCTGATTGCCAGCATGGCCGTTCTGGGATTCACCTTGCCACCTGATTCCGGCGAGAAACTCTCTCTAGGTAACTTATCTAACTATTCTGCACGACATAAGATTAAACGTAGCTTCGCTATCGCTAAAATTACGCTTCAACGCTGTACCTGCGCGGAGATACGCTACGAAACTTTCTACACCCATACCTCCAAACAAATGGCTGCTGTGTCTTTGCATTATGATAAGACGTGCTCAAATACATTGCACATTCTGCATCTTTCTTATGCATATCCTGTCTTCAGTATTAACTGCTTTCTTATATTTTTTATATTTTACTATTAACTGTATTTTTTTATATTTTTTTGTTATTCTGTTATTTTTTATAATGGGGTGGTTTTGAAGAGGAAGATAGAAGGTGGAGTCAAATATTAATTCATAGTTTTCTTCATGTGGTTTAGATATAGTAGACAAGATAACTATGTCCTTAGGTTCTCATATTTTTTACATATTCTCATTTTTTGTAATAGGGGTAGTTTGGAAAAAGAAGATTGTATAGAGATGGAGTTAAATATTAATTTATAGTTTTCTTCTTGGGGTTTAGATATAGTAGACAAGATAACTATGTCCTTAGGTTCTCATATTTTTTACATATTCTCATTTTTTGTAATAGGGGTAGTTTGGAAAAAGAAGATTGTATAGAGATGGAGTTAAATATTAATTTATAGTTTTCTTCTGGGGGTTCTAGATATAGTAGTCGAGATAACTATGTTCTCAGATTCTCATATTTTTTACATATTCTCATTTTTTATAATAGAGGGGTAGTTTTGAAAAATAGGATCCACATATGTGGATTTGTATAATGCTGCATAATTTTCTTCTTTGCGATTATAGTAATCAAGACGTTATGTGTGTACTTGAAGCGTGATCTAGTTATGTGAACTTTGTGGAGGAGTTTGATATGCAAACTTCACATATGAATATATTATAAGATCACATATGAATTTGATTATATAAAGGTGTTATGTGATGTTCATATATGAAGTTCATGTAAAAGTTGATATATAAACTTGATGTGTAATCTCATATAAATTTCGTGGAGAAGTTTCATATGCAACCTCCACATGTGAATATATTAGATCAAGTTCGTATGTAAGTTTGATATATGAAAGTATTATATGAGGTTCACATATGAACTTGATGTATAAATACAACATAAATTTCATGTGTAAACATGACATACAAACTTGATATGTGATGTGTGATCTTATGACACATGTGTGATCTTGTCACCTCACATGTTAACCTTGATGTAAGTTCACATATGAATTTCATATATAAAAGTATTATGCGAGGTTCATATATAAACTTGATGGATACATACAACATAAATTTCATGTGTGAACATGACATACAAACTTGATATGTGATGTGTGATTTTGTGACACATGTGTGATCTTGTCACCTCACATGTTAACCTTGATGTAAGTTCACATATGAATTTCATATATAAAAGTACTATGTGAGGTTCATACATAAACTTGACGGATAACTACAACATAAATTTCATATGTGGCCATCACATCTAAAAACACACACCAATCCAGCAACTACCCCAAATGAAATCTCAAATATGAATGATCTAATACATCACATAATTACGTCTAACATAAGATAATTGAAGTAAACGTTTCCGCATATTCTGGCAAATGTAATGTCAAAGGGTCAAGTCGGTTGAACGGTTCGTTGTTCAAGGAAACTATGATTCAATTTTATGTTGCAATTTAACACGAGTACCATCGAAGATTGTTCCTAGTCCAAGTAATTGTTGTGTTGCCAAACAAATGCGTACACATAGTTGTCGAATTACTTCGTTACAACACTCACCCCCAGATTACTCTCTCTCTTTCTCTCTCTGCTGGTAAGTTGAAATCGCGTAGTTGCATAATTCCAATTCCTTGCAGGCTTCGAAGCACGCTATAACGGCTCGCGTGATTAGATTCAATCGAGTTCTCGTAACGTATTGAATGCACGAGAGATTACAGTCGCGTCGATCTCGATCACAGACATCTCGCGTATCAACGAGATGTTGGAATTTATTGATCACTGACCCTCTGTAGCTTCGCGTTTCAAGGTGCCGGGGATTCAGACGCTTTCGAAAGAAAGCTGATATTCGCTCTTCTTTGATGGTGATTAATTGTTTGCAGAGCGATACAACGTTCGATAGCAGGAATGAGAATGCAAATTTTGGGATTTCGTTTGGGAATGAAGGGATTGGAGGGTTGCTCGTTAGAGCAGGAAATTCAGAGTTTGGTCTGGAGGATGTTGGGGTTGAGGGTTTGGCGATTTGGGGATTTAGGGATTTGAGGATTTGGGAATTTAGGGATTTTGAGATTTGGGGATTTTGGGATTTGGGGATTTGGGGATTTTGGGATTTTGGGATTTGGGGATTTGGGGATTTTGGGATATGGGGATTTAGGGATTTGGGGATTTGGGGATTTTGGGATATGGGGATTTTAGGATTTGGGGATTTTGGAATTTGGGGATTTGGGGATTTGGGAATTTGGGGATTTGGGGATTTGGGGATTTGGGGGTTTGGGAATTTGAGAATTTGGGGATTTTGGGATTTGGAGATTTAGGCATTTGGGAACTATAAATTTGGAAACTTGATCTTATGGGAGTTAAAGAATTTTAGGGTTTAGAGATTAGAGAGTTTGGAGATTTAGGCATTTTGCAATTTGAAAATATAGGGATTTGAGAATTTGGAGATTTAGGAATTTTGGAATTTGTGGATATAGGGATTTGAGAATTTGGAGATTTAGGGATTTTGGGATTTGAAGGTTTAGTAATTTGAGAATTTGGAAATTTGGGACTTTACGACTTTGGGAATTTAGAAATTTAGAAATTTAGGAATGTAGGAATTTAGAAATTTAGAAATTTAGGAATTTAGGAATTTGGGAGTTTAGGAATTTAGGAATTTAGGAATCTAATAATCTAGTAACTTAGTGCTGTACTAACTTAGTGATCTAGTAACTTAGTAACCTAGTAATCTTATAACCTAGTAGTCTAATAATCTAGTAATCTTGTAATCCAGTGATCCAGTAATTTAGTAATCTAGTGATCTAGTAATATAATAATCTTGTAATCTTGGAATCTAGTAACCTAATAATCTAGTAACCTAGTAATCTGGTAACCCAATAGTCTAGTAACTTAGTAATCTGGTAACCTAATAATCTAGTAACCTAGTAATCTGATAACCTAATAATCTAGTAACTTAGTAATCTAGTAACTTAGTAATCTAGTAACTTAGTAATCTAGTAATCTTGGAATCTAGTAACCTAGTAATCTAATAACTTAGTAATCTAGTAACGTAGTAACCTAGCAACCTTGTAACCTTGTAACCTAGTAGTCTAGTAATCTAGTAATCTAGTAACTTAGTAGTCTAGTAACTTAGTAATCCAGTAATCTTGAAATCTAGGAATTTCAAAATCTGAACATTTGATAATTTGCAAAATTTCATCAGAAATTCTAAAATTGCAAAATTTCATTAGAAATTCTAAAATTGCAAAATTTCATTAGAAATTCTAAAATTACAAAATGTACCAGTATAGAAGTTAAAGAATTTAAAAATTCACGACTTTAAGTCCTCCCCAATTCACAACTTCGATAACACAGAACCGAAACCCAGAAGACGAACACACCTCGAAACCAATACCGATAAGATCACCGTACGTGGCAATTATCCATATATTATCTCCCGAGTTACCGGAAACTATCGAATGAGATTCGAATCAGTCAGCGATATACCAAGATCGCATCCTCAGAATTGGGAAGGTCAGACACCTGGTTCCCAAACCCAGCCGCAGGCTCCCGAACGATTAATCTCATCTGATTAGCAGGATGGTTACACGATAACTGATTGGACGAACGATCCTCTTTTGCAGGGGTAACCATTCTCTTGTCCCTCACTGTGTTCCTGAATATGGTGGCCGAGACAATGCCAGCTACGTCGGACGCCGTGCCTTTGTTGGGTAAGTCCGTTGAATCTTTCGCTCCTCTTTTTCTCTCTGTTTCTTGCTGCCTCGTTTTATCGGACAGTGCGCCGTCACAGTCACCCTTCGCGAGAAATAAAGTCGAATTTTCTTTTTTGAGGGGGTCGAGATAAAAAGATACCCGCGATCTTCCTTCATAATTCACCCGAGACAAGTTGAACACGCTGAAACGCGTTTTGAATGGACAATCACGCCCTGGGTTATTATCACTTTTCTTTATGGAATGTTCGAATTGTGGGTTTCTTTTGTTTAAGATGTTTTGCCTTGTCGTGTTCACCGTATAAGGATACCTAGATTTAATAAAATTTGGGAACATGTTACATGTACAAGGGTAACATTTAAATTTCTGTATTAAGATCTAATATATTATTGAAAATTTGTGAACTTTTCTGACTGAAAACAGTTTAAATTATTATTTGGAACTGTTGAAAATTAAGTTTGATGAAATATGGAAATATTTGAGGTTTGACACTCTCATGTTACATATACAAAGGTGACTTTTAAATTTCTCTTTTAAGATCTAATATATTATTGAAAATTTGTGAACTTTTCTGACTGAAAACAGTTTAAATTATTATTTGGAACAGTGGAAAATTAAATTTGATGAAATATGAAACTATTTGAGGTTTGACACTCTCATGTTACATATACAAAGGTGACTTTTAAATTTCTCTATGTTACATATACAAGGGTGACTTTTAAATTTCTCTATTAAGATCTAATATATTATTGAAAATTTGTGAACTTTTCTGACTGAAAGTAGTTTAAATTATTATTTGGGACTGTTGAAAATTAAGTTTGATGAAATATGAAAATATTTGAGGTTTGACACTCTCATGTTACATATACAAGGGTGACTTTTAAATTTCTCTATTAAGATCTAATATATTATTGAAAATTTGTGAACTCTTCTGACTGAAACTAGTTTAAATTATTATTTGGAGCTGTTGAAAATTAAGTTTGATGAAATATGAAAATATTTGAGGTTTGAGACTCTCATGTTACATATACAAGGGTGACTTTTAAATTTCTCTATTAAGATCTAATATATTATTGAAAATTTGTGAACTTTTCTGACTGAAACTAGTTTAAATTATTATTTGGGACTGTTGAAAATTAAGTTTGATGAAATATGAAAATATTTGAGGTTTGACAATGTCATTATATAAGGGTGACATTTAAATTTCTGTACTGATCTAATATCTGTTTTATTAAAAATTTGTAAATCAATGTTCCTATAGTACTATGTTCATCTAAAGCTAGTTCGGAATAAATACCACCCATTTACAGAATAATTAAAAATATTTGCAAAATCATCAATTCTAGTATTTACCTAAATTCTGTCTGACCTCATCTACATATCATAATCAAAAAAATATTCTGCCCATACAATTTAACCCCTTTCACTATGACAAATATTACACATTTGTCAAGTACGTCAGAAGCAACCAGCCACAGCTACAATACCAAACCAGATAAAGAAACTTTAAATATTATGTCAATTCTTTATTCAGCAATCCTTTACTACTCAAATTATAATTAGACCTGAACTGCAAGTTAAGTATATTAAAAATCGGTATAAAATTGATGTCTGTCAAAGTACGAGTGCGTTACGAGTCAAACTCAAAATAGTGCAAGGTTCATAAACTTACAGAAAAATATATCACATACAATACATATACATATGTATACACCTGTGTTGCCTATCTTGAAATCTAACAACCACACTATTACACACCTACCAAAATTTTCTATTTGCAGCCGATCCACGACATATCAAATCCCATATCACTAAAGTATCAGTGGATACAAGAATCATCGTGCAGAGAATTCACAGGGTCTCGGATGCCTTGATCACAGTAACTCTGTCGCTTATTGTACACAATCCTTTGTCCTTGTCCGACGATCTCCTATTTCAGTCAGAACTATTCTACCCGCTGTAACATCGGCTTGACAGTAGTGACGGATCGCACGGGTCAGACCTGGACTTCGAGAACAAACATTCATTGACGTCTTGAATAGCTACGGCTGGAGCGGACGTTTCGAAACCGTACAGCTGATGCCTCGATTGGACATAATGAAAACGTGATCGATGATCTATAAATCGAATTCGATCATTGGCAAATATTTCCCTGTTCGAAAAATCGTGTTTCAATTCACGTTCGTGTTTGCGCAGGTACATACTTCAACTGCATTATGTTCATGGTGGCCAGCAGTGTTGTCAGCACCATACTCATTTTGAATTATCATCATCGGAATTCTGACACTCATGAAATGTCCGAGTGGGTGAGTAGTTTTTTATTTTGTACTGTTATTAAGGTTTAATAATCTATTTACACTATTTTAATCTAATTACATTACTAAGGTATTTGTACTGTTATGAAGGTAATATTTTAAGAGCAAGCTGAATATTTATTGGTTTCAATTTGTTTGAGATGTTTTGAATCATTGGTCCTTTGACTTGGACTAGAAATTAGTAAAAAATAAATTAAACCAGTGTAATTATTGTTAAAAACGAATTAAACAGATTTTGTTGGGATGAGGCAGATTATACTGATTAGGATTAGAGAGCTTACGTTGTTCTCTTGACACCAAGTCTCTACGGAGTTATTTCGCGGATGATCCTGTCATATATGTGACTTCAATTAGTGTGAGACCATGTACCTGAAGAGTGCTTCAGGTTTACTTTGGTCGTTAACGCGATTCATCCTTTCGAGTGATACTGGTCTACCTACTTACACGGATTTTACTGTCTACCCTATTCTTCGCCGTCTGCTGTTTACTTCTTCATTTGTACTGTTCTACTTCATGTTCTACCCAAGTGATACTCGCTTTTCTTCAAAATTACTTTATTTCCTTTATTCTGTATTTTGTATTGTTCACGTAATTTTATTTACATGAATAACTATTTACAATTCTAACTATTGCAAATAGTAACTATTGCAAATTCATTCTTGACTAAGTATGAGTTATTGCAATGTTCAATTGAATTTATCGTATGTTGAACATATTTTATTTACTCATCGAAAATCAATTTATTTACAAGATACAAGTTAAATTAGACTGTCGTTTAATTAATATACGTACATATCAAGTTTCTTTCTGCAAAATTCAATTTTTACTTTAAAACACAAGTTAATCATCTCGTATGATTATAACAAAATACAGAACTACATTTTTAAATTATTTACTCTTAAATTGATGACTTATCGTAGTTATAAAAGTACACATTTAAAGTTTGAAAGGAACGTCATTATAGAACTTGAAATGTAGTGATGTCAACCCACAAGTTGGCGCACGGCTGACGTGAAGAGTCACGGCTCCGATTGGTCGGAATAGAAAAATGGATGCCTCACATATTTTCGGCGGAACAATTGGCGCTCGCGGTCATGTGCACCAATTAGGCGAAAAACAATGACAGTCGGCAAACGTCTCTCAAGTGAGCGAGATAGCGCGAATTGCGTTCAGCAGTTGTTATTGTCATT